AAAAATAAATGTATGATTATGTATTTGCGGTTACATATTTTTGTTGACGTTTTTGAGACGAATCAACCGATTGAATGATTCAATTGTCGGGAAGATGTGCTGATTAGTTTTTGGTAAAGCAGTTTTACTCATTTCGGAATAAGGGGCAAAATAACAAAAAATAGATATTCAATTTTTTAGAGGCTCATTTTCGATCCGATTGAAAAATTCAAAACATTTTACTTGTGCGACGAAATGAAGAATTGACTAAATTCTTGCGATGGCAGAATCAGCGTTTTTGGTGATTCAAAAATTGCCATTTGATGGTCAAAAATGATCAATGTAGATTTCACATCAAATTATCAGATTTTTTACAAAAATTTTAATAATCAGTATAAATTTTGTTTTCATTTTTAACATCTCGCGGAGTAAGTTATAGTAGTCGCAAAAAAAGGAAAATATTTTTTTTGCATATCTTTACGTTTCAAAGGTTATTAAACATGTATGCCTTAGAAACATGGATGTTTGTTTGTGTGCGTGTATTTGAATGTAAGTTATATGTATGTATACAATTAGGACGAATACTAATTTTCGTCCACGATTTTGAGAGCACGGATCAACCGATTTGCATGATTCAAGAAGCATTCGATTCCTACTGATAGGGAGACGTGCTGATTAGTTTTTGTCAAAGTCAGGAACAGCCATTTCAAAGATGGGCAAAAAATGCCAAAAATAGAAATTCGATTTTTGAGCGAACGGAGTGTCCGATATGAATGATTCAAAAAATATTTTACTCATATTGACGAAATGAAGAATTAGCCAATTTTTGGGAAGGCAGGTTCAGCGGTTGTGAAGATCCAGAAAAAAGTTATGAAAAAAACACTTGGTGGTAAAAAATGATCATTAAACATACGAACATCAAATTATCAGATACTTTATAAGAATATTAATAATAAGTACAAATGTTGCTAACATTGCTTTGCAAAAAAACTCTAAATTTTCAAACAAACTGCTCCTTCGGGAAGTTTGTAATAAGTCAGCCCTAGTAGATAATTTCTAATAATGAAATAATGAAATATGGATGGATCAACAGTCGGCTTACGTTCTACAAAAATACTACATAAGGAAAAGATTCAGGTTGTAGCGGTATGATTTCTATTTGGACTTTTTGCTTCGTATTTTTGAAACGGCTAGATCAGCCTTAGCGAAAACCTAATCAGAACGTCTTCATATCAATCGGAATCGAACATACATACATACATACACACATACACATTTTGAAGTGTACCAAAATGTTCAGAGGGCCTTGAAACGTGAAGGTAAAAAAAAACATTTTCGATTCTTTCGCAATTACTATAACTTACCCAACGCAAAGTTAAAAATTATATCTAAATAATTTGAAATAAATTTTTTAATTAAAAAAGTAAAATTTTGTCTATTAAAGAGGACGTCTGAACGGATAGAGCCTATGGCGGCTGAAAGCTTAATCTGTCACTGACGAAACCGAATACATTCACATGGTAAATTTTCTAAACGCGCGGTCAAATAATCCAAACTTTAATTATCATAAGTAAACCACTTGTCACAGGCCTTAATATAGTTTAGTACGTTCATTTAGAGCAGAAACTCTATCGCCATGCAAAGTTTCATTAAAATTGCAAAAAAAATTGACAATCTATTACGAAAAAGAAACGACTTGACCGATCTTCGCCAAAAACCATATATTTCCAAATGATATCAATCAAATAGTTATAAAAATATAAAATAATTACAAATATATAAGTTATATAAGTTAAATATAAAGTTATAAAGACAAGAATCTAGAATTCACTTCATTATAGGCATCTTGATGGATTCTAGCAGATTCACTACTTTAGTACAAACTATTTTCAGAAAACTCACGATTTTATAAAAATTTTATAAAAATTTTCACTTTTTTTTTCAATTTGCGCGGCCGCGAAGTCTTTAAACATTCATAACTCTGTCAATTTTTGTGTGAAAGAAAAATAATAAAAAACAATAAATAATTTCGATTTTTAAAAAAAATGGAAAAAAAAAGTTTTTATAAAATCTTGAGTTTTCTGAAAATAGTTTGTGCTAAAGTAGTGAATCTGCTAGAATCCATCAAGATGCCTATAATGAAGTGAATTCTAGATGGAATATGAATTACTTTAATTCTGGTGGAAATGGCGCTCATTAAACCATTTGATTTAAGAGAAAAAAACTTCATATATGCTTCTTATTTGCATGATAGCTCACTCACTTTACACGCAAAAATTTGTAACAGCACTCATTTTAAAGCTTATGATGAGCACTATAAAACCCAATTTCACCGAAATGCATAAAATGTAAAACTTCGACACTAGATGGCTCTAAATACAACAATTAAATCTTGAACGAAATAAAAAACGACTTTGCTCTTTCAAATCTTGCTTAATATTTTTCTTAAAACACTTTATGTAATACCGATTTATTAAGATTTTTATTGACATTATTTTGTTCATTACATGATTTTCGTTAAAATGTATATTTTAGGAGATATTTGCAAAAAACGAAGAGAAACGCCAAAAATATATGAATCTTTAGTGGCCAGTAACTTGAAAAGTATTAGGTTTTTTGAAAAACTATAAAAGACATTTTTTTCTTATAATTAGTTCTTCTATCGATTTCCAACGTTATTTTGAAAAAATGTAATTACTCAATTAAGAAGGGGTGTCATCCCCCCGGAGGGTGATGGCGCAACCCGAATTGTTTTCACTTTTGAACTTGAGGGTAAGATGAACCTAATTCCAAAATTTCATTCAATTCGGAGCACAGTAAAAAAATTCAGACCTAAAACGCTCCGTTTACTGCACTATCGTGTTCCATCAGGGCAACGCCAGGCCACACACTTCTATAGTGACTCGTCAGAAACTCCAGGAGCTTGGTTGGGAAGTTTTGATGCATCAATCCACCATACAGTCCGGACCTCGCACCAAGCGATTACCATCTTTTTTTTGCATTGCAAAACTTTTTTAGTGATAAGAAATTGGCATCAAGGGAAGAGTGTGAAAATCAATTGCTGGAGTTTTTCGCTAATAAGGACCAAGACTTTTATGAGAGAGGCATAATGAAGCTACCATTAAAATGGCAACAAATTATAGAACAAAATGGTGCATATTTGACCTAAATCGGACAATGCAAAACATGTTAAATAAAGTCTTGAAGTTCACGTAAAAATAATGGATTTCTTTTTCCCCAACCCAATATTATTATTTGGCATATTCATGTTATTATTATAATAAAGAAAAATAATAAAAAACAATAAATAATTTCGATTTTTAAAAAAAATGGAAAAAAAAGTTTTTATAAATTCTTGAGTTTTCTGAAAATAGTTTGTGCTAAAGTAGTGAATCTGCTAGAATCCATCAAGATGCCTATAATGAAGTGAATTCTAGATGGAATATGAATTACTTTAATTCTGGTGGAAATGGCGCTCATTAAACCATTTGATTTAAAAGAAAAAAACTTCATATATGCTTCTTATTTGCATGATAGCTCACTCACTTTACACGCAAAAATTTGTAACAGCACTCATTTTAAAGCTTATGATGAGCACTATAAAACCCAATTTCACCGAAATGCATAAAATGTAAAACTTCGACACTAGATGGCTCTAAATACAACAATTAAATTGAACGAAATAAAAAACGACTTTGCTCTTTCAAATCTTGCTTAATATTTTTCTTAAAACACTTTATGTAATACCGATTTATTAAGATTTTTATTGACATTATTTTGTTCATTACATGATTTTCGTTAAAATGTATATTTTAGGAGATATTTGCAAAAAACGAAGAGAAACGCCAAAAATATATGAATCTTTAGTGGCCAGTAACTTGAAAAGTATTAGGTTTTTTGAAAAACTATAAAAGACATTTTTTTCTTATAATTAGTTCTTCTATCGATTTCCAACGTTATTTTGAAAAAATGTAATTACTCAATTAAGAAGGGGTGTCATCCCCCCCGGAGGGTGATGGCGCAACCCGAATTGTTTTCACTTTTGAACTTGAGGGTAAGATGAACCTAATTCCAAAATTTCATTCAATTCGGAGCACAGTAAAAAAATTCAGACCTAAAACGCTCCGTTTACTGCACTATCGTGTTCCATTAGGGCAACGCCAGGCCACACACTTCTATAGTGACTCGTCAGAAACTCCAGGAGCTTGGTTGGGAAGTTTTGATGCATCAATCCACCATACAGTCCGGACCTCGCACCAAGCGATTACCATCTTTTTCTTGCATTGCAAAACTTTTTTAGTGATAAGAAATTGGCATCAAGGGAAGAGTGTGAAAATCAATTGCTGGAGTTTTTCGCTAATAAGGACCAAGACTTTCATGAGAGAGGCATAATGAAGCTACGATTAAAATGGCAACAAATTATAGAACAAAATGGTGCATATTTGACCTAAATCGGACAATGCAAAACATGTTAAATAAAGTCTTGAAGTTCACGTAAAAATAATGGATTTCTTTTTTCCCAACCCAATATTATTATTTGGCATATTCATGTTATTATTATATTCTTATAAAAATGATACGATTGCATTGCAAAATTCATAACCACTTATTAATTTTGTTTTCCATTACAAATTTTGCCCCATTAATTTGAATGCATTATGAGCGCGGGGCTGCCGAGCGATAAGTGACAACAGCGCCTGAGCGCCCGACCCTTTTCCTAGCTCTCTGAACTTAAAAATCGATATTATCGACTCTCCTTTTATCTATGTTATCGACATTTGTATGATTCTTCACTTCATTTGCATTTACAAACATAAAGTCTATCAAAGATCAATGCTCGATAGTTAAGTTTCAACTCATATTATTATTTATCTATGTTTCAACTTCAACAATCGAGCACGATGCGAGCATGGCATCGAGCCATAAATAAATAAACATCGAGCCACTGTGCACTGAGCTCTTTATGTTTACTTATCTATGGTGCCACTCTTCTTTTATCCATGACTTCGACTTTGGTTTCAATTTTCCACAAATAGTTTCTCATGTTGGTATTTGCGACTGAAACACAATGTAACGTCAAAACAAAATATTTTGGCCTAAGCAGGAACTCAAATAATATATATTGCTTTGCCGATAATGTTTTATTGGCAAAGTTGATTTTCTGGCATTTCAGCTTTTAAAACGCAAGTAGATATAAGTTTTATAAAATAAGTACACAGTTTTTAATATTTGTCCATACCACTAAAATTTTTAACATGACATTTGGAAGCAGTAGAATGGCACAAAAACGCAGGTTTGTATAAGATTAAATTAATGTATTCGAAACTTATTTCTTTTATTTTATCCATAAGTTCATGAATGTTCTAGGGCAGCTGCAGAGGCGGCCGCTTTTCCACAAGGGATTCGTTGTCAGAAATGCTTGGAATATGGACATTGGAGTTATCAATGCACAGGAAAACGCAAATATTTACATAGGGATTCTAGAACTCAACTTCTTCGTAAAAAAATTCGTGATATGGAGAATAAAAATCAGATAAACAAGTAACATTCTCATTTTTTCACAATATAGAGTATCAAGAGGCTGTGATTGCTAATGTTTTGAACTATTTGTAATTAGGATCATAATATTTTATATTTGAAATCTGAATTGCTTGAATAATATTAGTTAAGCTAATGTTTTGTAAATCTAATTAACATAACGATTTACAAATTTGTAAAGTTTACTTGTTCAAATAATGCAAGCTAACATAACAATTTACAAATTCATAGCAATTTACAACTTTTAATTTAATAAGTTTTTCAGATTACCAGCTGAAGTAGATGAAAAAGTGCAGAGTGGAGAAAATGATTCAAAGCAATTGAAAAAAAAGGTAAATTCCAAGATTAAATCTAAATTGAAATCAAATGGAGATGATGACAGTAGCACCTCAAGTTCAAATAGTTCAGATAACAGCAGCTCTGACAGTGATTCCGATAGTAATGATAGTGATAGCTCTAGCACTAGCTCTTCCTCCACCTCTAGCTCTAGCTCTAGTGGTTCAAGCACTAACTCTTCAAGCAGCAGTTCAAGCTGATTTTATTTATTATTTATTTTATAAATCAAAATCATTTTTTATACTTGAACATAGTATTAATCATTTATCACAATACTTAAGGCAAAATTATGGTTATTGTAATTGAAATTGAGATAAATCCTATATCCAATTTTTTTAATTCAAGATAATAAATTTCTAGTTAATAAAAAGCGGAGAAAATACAAGTTTTAAATTACCATTATTACAATTTTATTTCATATCTTACTATTTTTGTCCAATAAATGAGTATCTCATTATGCAAGAAAATGTTTATATGTGCATGCGTGGGACACAAAATTAGAGTGTCTTGTACATGTTAAATAAAAATGAAAATTAACTTTAGAAGCGTAATTTAAAATAAAAATCATGGGTTTTGGGCATGTGCCTAGCATACTTGGACCTTAATCCATTCTTTGTATGTGTGTTGTTTTTCCTGGTTTGAATTTGATAACACAGTGCAGTGTTGAAACATACTTAATAAATAATTAATTAATAATTGCTTTTTATTTCGACTATTTGGCTGCAAATACACATTCGAAGAATTTGTTCCAATGTCAAGCAAAAAAATCTATAGTATAAAAGAAGAGTATAATATATATATATATATATATATATATAGCGTCGAAGTACGCTTAAGTATAATATTTGTAGCATTTATATAAATGCTATCCTCAAATTTAACCCTTTGCACCCGACTGACCCCTTTTGGGGACAACAGATCAGGGATGAGCAACTTGCGGCACGCAGCCTTCATGCGATAATTTATTCTTTTTTTGTTGCATTAATTTATGGAATATTTACTTGTTCAATTTAGTATTTTTATATTCTAATGTTTATTACGATATATCATAGATAAAAGCAGAGCATATATCAAGTTTTGTAAATTTAAGTACGGCCCGCCATAAATTTAAATAATTAAATGCAGTTTATGAGTTAAGTACGGCCCGCCATAAATTTAAATAATTAAATGCAGTTTATGAGTTAAGTACGGCCCGCCATAAATTTAAATAATTAAATGCAGTTTATGAGTTAAAGGTTACTATCTATGGTTACTAAATATTAGAATAAATCTATGCAGTGATAAAACAGTGTTCTCTTTTTGAAAATGCACTATTATAAATTTACAGTATTTCAGTATTAAGTATTTTTTTACACTTTTTTTTATTGCATAATTCTTTTTTTTCTAAATACTGTAAAACAACCGAGCAATTCGTAAAGCACAATTTTAGAAAGTATTGCAAATGTATATTCTTCAATGTTCACAAATTCATTGCATAACATAACAATAATATCAAGTTTACAGGAAGAAACGAGGTACGTTTTCGTCAGAATGCGGCACAGAGTAGCTAGAAGATTGTTTCTGAATCAGTACCAGGCGGAAAGGGTTAAATGTTACTGACAATTAAGAAATATAATTATAATATTAGTACTAGGCAGTTACTAGGTGTTAGTTATTATTTTATTTTTTGTGAAATCAGATCTAACGGTAAAAATTTGTACTACTTATGTCTGTCATATTAATAAATTCAATTGAACCTGCAAAGCTATTCAAGGGTATGAATTTTATATGGATAATAAATAAAATTAAGTTACTTTTAAACTAATTGATGATTATATTAAATATTAAGATCGGTTTAATATAATATGTATAATTATTTTCGTTTGTTATCACGGGAAAGTTTGTAATTTGGTAGCACTGCGTGTTTGCTTGAAAGCATAGATCATATAGAGTAGACCATTTTTGTCTGTCAAGTAAGTGTAGTTCGGCATGTTTCGGTGTGATTTTGTATGATTATCTGTGAAAAATATTTGTTTTCATTTAACTGATTATATTTTATTATAGAAATATGTGAAATTCACTTGCAAAAGGGCAAATTTTTGGTTAAAATTATGCTATCAGTTATTAAAAGTGACATGTGTATTTCGATCCTCGTAAAAGTAATAGATAAAATTGTGTGACAACAAAGTTAGCAGAATGATTCAAACTGAAATCAATTTTTGAAAAATAAATATGAATCGTGTATTTTTGAGCAATTATTATTTGATAAACGAAAAGGTTTCTTAATTCAGTTGGATTTTAATTCCACGACATAATTGTATATGTATTTCGGGCATGCATTTAACATGTGCCGAATTTAAGCTGAATTGAAAAACTGTCACTCTTTTCTTCAAAACTGATTAAAAACAAATGATACTGCTGTCTATATTAAAATGTCTCGCGATATATCGTCGAAATGTAATATTGAAGCAAATAATTCGAAATCAAATGCTGTTAACAAATCAATCAGATCACTATTAACTGATAAAGAGAGTAGCAATGGGTCTCAGGTGAGCAAAACAACATTTTATTTATAAGACGCATTATTTTTTAATTTTTATTATATACATATCATTTTGATATTAAAGTCATAAAACCTTATAGTATTACAATAATGCATACAACATAGATTGTATTGTAAATTGATTATAATTTTTTTTTTTTCAAAGCATCAGACTTCTTTATTGAATGTATTATTGTTTTGTTTCAATTCTTTCAGACAAATGATCAGCCCAGTTTATTATTGTCACGAATTAAGAATTCAACTAATAAAGTTGTTTTGCAAGATGCATCAACAGGGAAAAGTGCAACAGTGCATTTAAAGACAATAGCTAAATCTAGTGGTGACAAAACACTTTCACACGTACAACAAGTTCAGTATGTTCAAGGAATAAAATCTTCAAATGTTTCATCACAGATTAAACCTCAAATAGTTTATATTAAAAGTAATAATTTAACATCAAATACGGTGTTGCGACCCTCTTCTTCTGTTCCGAGTTTGATTAGTAGCGTTATAAAGCCTATTAACAAGGTATCTGTAATAAAAGCCAAACCCAGCAATATAAGTCAGGTTGTTAAAAATCCCATTATAATAACTTCAGCAGCAAGTCATGTAAATACATCTCTGAATAACTATGATACAAAAGCTTCAAATGAGAATATAGAACATATTAAGACATCGTCTCCAACAAATGTTGCTATTTTAAATCGTCAGAAACTTGTTGTAGGTTCTCATGTTAACAGTTTAGCAAAAGTGCAAAATTCTGTTGTTGGATTGTCCAACACAAAATCTCAAATGCTAAATAAAGGACCAATTTTCAATTTTAAAATAGCAGATGGTAAATTCAATCAAAGTGGTATTTCTTTGTCATCGAATAATTCTAACAATGAATCAAAAGTTTTAAATTTACCACCTTTACAGCCAATTCAGAAAGATAGAAATTCTTTAATAACCAAAGGTTATAATTGTGCAAAAATAGAAAACGATACATCAGCAAAAGCAGCTGATGGGAGTATATTTAACAATTTAAATAGCAGTTCACACGGCTTAACAAGTATATTAAAAAAACATCTCGGTTCTAACAATAAACAAATAGAAATGACAACAGAAAAAAGTTTAGATAATTTAAAAAAGCTAACTTGTTCTATTAATAAGGTAAACGATGTAATTAAAATTCCAAAACCTGACGATGCCAAACAAAGTAAAATTGAAAAAAATTCTAATGCTATCAATGAGGAGATTATAAATGATACTAAACAAGTTGCAATGCCTCAATTAAAAGCCCAGCCACGTGTGAAGAAACAGCAACTTCAAGTTAAAGAGGATAGAGAAGAAGAACTGTGCATAGAAGTTTTGAAGACAAAGCAACGCAGAGAATCAAAGCGTAAAAATAAACCTATAATGAAAAAAAATACTAATGAAACTCTTGATGATCCAATCAAAAACTTGTTATGGAAAGATGGCATAGGTACATTAGATGATACAAATTTACATTTCCGAAAAAATGAATTTGGAATATACGATCTACTGAGTGAAATGGAATATGATGCTTTAACTACAGGAAGGAAAGATTCTAAATACTATACCCCTTTAGCTAAACGAACAGAAATACAAGTTGTAAAACAATCAACATCTTCTGAAGATTTATATGAATGTTATACTTGTGCTAGTACTGGTCCTGCAATTGAATTTATAAGTCCAGAATTTTGTAGCACTGTTTGTGCAGATATTTATAGGGATCATAGGGGTCAAATGAGTAAAGATGATGATTCTTTAAATCACCAGAAACGTAACCAAATAGTAATATCAGACGATAGCGATACTGAGTACGAAGAAAGAAATTCTCGATATTCATGGATGCCTACTTCTACCAGGGGATTTTCTTGGTCTAAATATATGAATTTCAAGAAGACGAAACCTGCTCCTATCAAATTATTTAAGGAACCATTTCCTTATCATGCTAATGGTTTTAAAATTGGCATGAAGTTAGAAGGAATAGATCCAAAGCATGAATCATTTATATGTGTAATGAGTGTAGTGGATATCAAAGGCTATAGAATTTGTTTGCATTTTGATTCATATTCAACAAAATTTGATTTTTGGGTTAACGCTGACTCTAATAATATTTTTCCACCTGGATGGTGTGAGAAAAATAATCTTGTTCTGCAAGTACCTAAGCATTATACATTGGAAACTTTCAATTGGCAAACATATTTAAGAAAATGCAGATCAGTTCCAGCTCCAAAAACACTTTTTCCTCATCTTGCTTTTGAGGTAAATAATAATACACAATTGTGATATACTTTTATAAAATAGGTATATTCAGAATAAATCATTGCTAAATATTTTTTGCACTCTGCAATGTAAGCATCAGTATCTTTGCAAATTGCACAAGCATTATCACAGCTAATAAATTTTATCAAACTTCTAAATAAATATTATCATAATATTCAATTTTTTTTTCATTGTCCTATTCCTTCCAATGCTCAAATATTCATCGGTTAGTTTATATTGAATATTATGTAGATTTTTTATAATACTGTTGGTTATAATTAAAAAAAATATCAATTATCAATTTTTTATATCTAAAGAGCTTTAATAATAATAATATAGGAATTAATATTTTATCTGTTGTTATTTACTATTTTAAACAATATGTGTTATTTTTTACTTTGCAGACAGTGTGCCCTTTAGGTTTTCGTATCGGAATGAAATTGGAAGCTTTGGACAGAAAAAATTCAAAGGAAATGTGTGTAGCTAGTATTACTAATGTGTTAGTAACTCAAAGATTTTTAGTACATTTTGATGGGCGAAATGAAATGTATGATTATTGGGCAGATGCTGCAAGCCCATATGTACATCCAGTGGGATGGTGTCAAGAACATAAGGAAAAACTGTTGCCACCTCCCAGTTAGTAGCAATCATATATAATAATTTATAATTAAAACTTTTTATATTAAAATATTATTTATAAACTAGTGTTAGTAAGTTTATTCAATATAATTCTAAATAATGTATTACTCCATTGTTGGAAAAATGTTATTTAATTGAGTTTTGAATATGCTAAAAATTGGAAATATTACTCACTTAAGACTATATTGTTAGATATAATTCAAAATCCTTTTGAAAATTGATCAATTGATTATTGGATTAATGTATTATTATATAAATCATTATATGTATATGTTAATGTAAACAACTTATATTTTCATATATATTATTATTGTTTATATATCATTTAGCTGCTTTTATGCATTTGGTTTATTATTCATTACTTCCTATACAGTTGAGTTACGTGAATTAAATGTCACTAAAATATATCTTGAATATTTTAACAGATTGCACTGATATTGATCCTTTTGATTGGACTGCATATTTGAATGAAACAAAGTCAATTGCTGTACCATCCCGTGCATTTAAAGCAAGGCCAATGTCTTCTTTTCAAGTTGGAATGAAATTAGAAGCGGTTGACCCTAAAGTTCCTTATATTATACGAGTTGCTACGGTTGCAGAAGTTAAAGAAAATTCAATTAAAGTTTCATTTGACGGATGGCCGCCTCGATATTCAATTTGGGTTGATACTGACAGTACAGATATACATCCTGTGGGATGGTGCACTAAAACAGGACATCCTTTGGAGCCGCCATTGAGTAAGTTATAATATTAATTTTAATAACTTTTTTGCTTATGAGATCATTTTTGAATATATTATTACATTTCACTCTGTCTCTTTTAGTCTTTTAAATTTAAAATAAGATATAATGCTTCATTTATAATGTTTTTTTTGTATCATAAATATTATTAGAGGCATAAAACTATTAAAATCTAAACCTTATTCCAACATTTATGAGGTAAATGGCAATTAATATTAACCAGTTAACTGAACTGTGTGCACAATTTTGCGTCATCAAAACTGAGTTAAATGTTGTTCTAAGCTAAAATGTTATCTTGTAAATACTTATTTTACATTAGCTTCAAAATATTCTAAATATTTTGAAATTTGAGAATATGTTTTATTTCTTTCTATTCAAAAATGACAATCTAAATGGCCAATGATCAAAGATTTATATGCATGATGGGTATACTCGGCAATACATAACATTCTGATTATTTAAATATTTTTTCATTCTTTTGAATGTTTTTATATGATATTTATTTGGAAATTACAGTGCCAGATGATGTTCAGATATCTTTATCAGTTGGTTGTGGAGTGCCCGGCTGCAATGGTCAAGGAAATATTAACATTCCGCACCAATCAAAGCATTCATCGATTAGTTTATGTCCATTTGCACCAAAAAATTTGTATTTACATCTTGAAAAAGGATGGGATAGATTGTCTTCCTCTGATCATGAAGAAGCACAACTTAGTGCTTCTGTTTTATTAAAAACTAATTTCAAAAGGTTAGTAATGAATTTCAGTTAAATCTTTTGTATTTATATCAATTTTATTCGTTTTATAGATATGTGACTTGACACTATGAAAATTTGATAATTTATTTATTTTAAATCAACATTTTAATAAAAGTTAAATTTTTAATTATATTATTTGTTGGAAGGTGAATTTAATTTTACATAAATGAAATTTATTATGTAGGAGAAACAATAGTGAAACTTGTTACGGTAATGGAACAAAACGACCTAGAACTACCAGCTCAGAAAGCAGCAATAATGATAGTACAAATGCTGACGATTCCAGTGTTATTTCAATTAGATCAGAGACTTGTAATGATGATTCAAATACTTGTGACAGCTCCAATGCTGTGATGACAGTTAATAATCCTGAACTGAAGCGAGTGCCAAACATGATAAACAAGGTTGAAGTAAAACCAAAAATTCATACATCAGTATTCAAACCCAATATGCTTGCAGCGTGCTCTGAAATTGATAACGATCTTTGGATAAAATATACAAAACCTTTGAGTTATGTCATAAGAAAATCATACAAAGATTTAGATCCAAGGTTATGGAGTAGTACAGATGTCGCTAAATTTGTTAGAAATATTCCAAATTGTTCTAGTTACGCAAAAATATTTGAGGAACAACAAATTGATGGTGAATGTTTTGTTATGTTAACGACAAAGGACCTTATTTCGTACTGTAATTTACGTGTTGGACCTGCTATTAAAATATATAATAGTATTATGATATTAAGACAACAGATGTCAATGTAGCTTTTTGATATTAATTTCTGTACATAATTCATAAATTATATCTTAAATTTTTATGATCATATATTCCATTTTTAACATTTAATGATTTATTTTGACAATTCTCTTGGAGATTGACTTTTGCCTTAGAAATAATATAAGTTCTAGAACTTATAAGTTTATTACAATATTGCAATTAGATTAATTGGAAGCTATGCTATGATCATCTTCAGCATGATTTGAGAAATATGTTTATGAAATTATGTTTATAAAACAAATTTATGAAATTTAAATATTCCTAAATTTTTTTGCTTAGTTAAGTACAAATGCACTTACATAAATGATGTTGATAATTATAAAACTGCATATATTACAGCTTATATTCTAAAATATTATTATATATTCAAAATATTAAAATATAAGTGAATAAGTTTTTCTATGCAAGTTGTTTTGTCTAAAACAAAAAATCAGCCTATTGAAAATGCTTTTCTAAAAACATGAAGTGCTTTTATTTATAATTAAGATTTTTTTATTTCAAATAATTTGAGGCTGCAATAATTGTCAGTGCAATGCCATGCTGATCAAGTACTTCTAAGATTGCAAATGAAAGATCAAATATGTGCAATTTTAGAAAAACTATAATATTGACTACAAGAAGCTAAAGTCTTACCAAAGAGATCAACAACTCAAAAAATTAGGTAAAACATCTAGAATTGTTAGTTTTTCACTAAATAAGTAATGCTACGCCTTGAATTATGGAATTTTATTTATTAAACATTCACAAATTATGTGTAATGTGATAACTTGATATTTGATATGACTTATGATCTTACATTACAAACAGAAACTTTTGACTTCAATTTTGAAGAACTTGATATTTTATGAAAAAGTCTACTTCAAAAATGATGGTATTACTTATAGGATTTTGTACATTATGAATTATGTAACTATTGTCAATTTTTTTTTAAATTTTATTTTCATTCTGCAATCTATAAAAATAAATTACATTTAGCAGAGAATGCTGACAAGTTGTTTACAATTAATTGTCACTATTGTCATAAATGAGGGTGTATTTGTACACAATTTGTGCAAATATTTATTGTAAGCACTTCTTAAATATGTGCAGTATAAATTTTATTTGCATGTTTATCATGAATTGAAATCGAATTTTATATCTTATTACAATAATTATTATATGATAATATTAGTCCTGGAATCAGTTATCAAACATGGTATAAAATAGTATCAAAACATATTCATTACAATAAATAGAATGATAAGAATTTTCCGATCAACTTACAGAATTATTATGGATTACTAATTATTTTTTTAGTGTACATTATTTTGCCATTTCAATAAAAAAAAAATCCTTTTGAATAAAATTTATTCATATTTTTAAATTATGTGTATTAAAGTGTATAAAATGCTATAAACAAATACTTGACTCAATTTTTACATATTGCAAAATATGGAATACTGAATTACCTTCTCATTTAATATTGTGGTGAAATAAAACACTAAATTTAATAGTTTTTTGGAAGAGTTGCATTGAAATCATTGGAAAAAGTTGTGTTATAAAATCTCGAATAAAAACACATATGGCATGTATGATGAGATGCAGATAATATATAATTTATAATTTTGAATTATATATATATATATATATATATATATATATATATTTATATATATATAATATAATATGTATGTGTGTATTGTATTATGTATATATTTATTATTTGGCATTATATATATATATATATATATATATATATATATATATATATATATTCAATAGATAAGTCCTGGATTTTTTCAATATATTGATTGTTCCTTTTCCGAAAAGTAAATCCAATAATAAAAAACAATGTGTTTTTTGAAGATGTTTAATAACGACGTTTCGGAACTAAATAAGTTCCATCATCAGGTTTATTCTGTCAAAGACAATGTTTTTTAAAACTATTGATTAACATTAATTAATGATGATTATTACAGATTATTTAGAAAAATCATAAATGAATGGATTATGTACCAGTGTAAAGAGCAATAAAAATTAACTAAAAAAGGTTTTATATAAAATTGAGAAGCAAAAATTATTTACCTGTAATAATTTATATATCTATATCACTAATATTTTTTGTTAAAAACACTCGATTTTTTCCGAGGATATTTGTAAATGTTTTGACTTCACAAGACTTTAACACACTGATGTTATGGAGTTCTGTCGGCCAGATGTAAGGGATATGTACGGAATTTAGGCAAAAACTAGCTGTAAGTGGAATTCTGTCTTAGGGCAATTAAGGCATCGTGCCTTAAGTCAAATTGCTGGAACTTTCCGTACCAAAAATTATTATTTTTTTAAAAACGGTTTTTGAAAAAAATTTACTTCGAAAAAAATAGATTTTTGAGAAACTATAAATTTGACGAATGGCATTTTTTTTTTTACTTTTTGCATTAGATCTCCGAAACCGCTAGACCTGCCTTCATGACAATTTGATCAATTCTTCATCTTGTCAATACAAGTGAAATGTTTTTTGAATTATTCAAATCGGACGCTCCGTTCTCTTAAAATCTGAGTTACCGTTTTCGGCACTTTTTCCCCGTATCTTCGGAACGGCTAGACCTGCCTTCGCGAAAAACTAATCAGCACGTCTCCCTATCAATACGAATCGAATGTTTTTTGAATTATTCAAATCGGTCGATCCGTGTTCCCGAAATCGTCGACGAAAATTTGTATCCGCACACACATACATACACGCGCACACACACACACATACATCCATTTTTTCTAAGGTATGCCAAAATATTCAGAAACCTCTGAAACGTAAAGATATATAAAAATTTTCATTTTCGATTTTTTTGCGATTACTATAACTTACCCTACGGGAAGTTAATAATTTTTTATGGCTCTTGTATTGATAATTTACGAAAAATGGGAATGTATTGCTTCAGTAAATGTTGAGAAATATTATTATGTATATATACATGCACATACATATGCACACCTACATACACATAAATGCATATACACATACATACATATGCATATATCCATATATTCATGTACATACAATTATATACACGAACATATACGCAAGTTCCTTTCCTTTCCTTCCTTTCTATTCCTTAATAATTTTTCTAAATAATCTGTAATAACCATCATTAATTAATGTTAATCATCAAAAAACAAATTGTTTTTTATTATTGGATTTACTATTCGGATATATAATATATATATATATATATATATATATATATATATATATATATATCCGATTCGGACATATATATATATGTTTAATTTGGTTAAAAATTCGGGCGTAACATCAATAAAAAAGTTTTTTTTTTAAAGTTTAATTATTTAAAATTCATACGTTTCGGCTAGCATCTTAGCCATCATTCAGTGGTAATCAAATTCATATAAAAATTAAAACTAAATAAATAATATGTAAGAAATTTCATAGAAAAACAATAATAATAAAACTCTTTCAAATTTGTATCCTAATATAGCATACGTTAAACACATGCTAAAAACTGCTTTAAGAAAAAATGTGACCTTTCTATCTTAAACCCTGAAGAGTAAATACATGGTTTTGACAACTTGTTAAGTTATCATGGTTATTAGTGTGTTTTACCATTCGTGATGTTAAAAAATATATATTTTATCAACGTGCACATACTCATACCATGGATTAATAATGGTTTCATATGCTATATTAGGATACAAAATTGTTAGTGTTTTATTATTATTATTATTGTTTTTCTATGAAATTTCTTACATATTATTTATTTAGTTTTAATTTTTATAGTTAATTTCATTATCACTGAATGATGGCTAAGATGCTAGCCGAAACGTATGGATTTTAAATAAATAAACTTTTAAAAAAACTCTCATACTATTTTTATTGATGTTACGCCCGAATTTTAAACTCAAATTGAACATATATATCAACATCAAATTCAAGACTATTTAATATATATATATATATATATATATATATATATATATATATATATTGGATACTAGGGATCAAAATATGATACTTTGCTGAAGAAACCATACTTCTAAAATGAATTCTGATGTCTCGTGCATTGACCCAAAGATATTTAAAGTGCCTCAATGGCGTCCAAATGTATGACCGACCCCTCATGGATTATTACAAATTCCGTAATATTGTCTAATATTTAAAAGAATTATATAAACTGAATTACAAAGTTAAAATTATTCACTTAAAGTGTATAAATGAGCTTTCGAACTTTAACGAGAATTAAAATTAAAATATGAATTATTTTCGACAAAAAAAATGAAATGAAGAATATTTTTTTTCCCAGAGCAATTGTTTCGTCAACACAAGCAGAATGTTTTTTGAATCATTCAAATCGAATGCTTATTACTCTCAAAAACTTCAATTTTTTGTACATTTACTCTGTATACTCTGTATCTTTGAAATGGCTGGACCTGCCTTTGCGAAATACTAATCACCACTTCTCCTAATCATTACGAATTGAATGTTATTTTTAGATTATTCAAATCGGATGCTCCGTTCTCTCAAAAACTCGATTTCTATTTTCTGCACTCTTCGCTCCGTAACGGCTGGACCTGCCTTTGCCAAAAACTAATCAGCACATCTCCCTATCAATAGGAATCGAATGTTTTTTAAACCATTCAAATCGGTTTTTGAATTTCGGCTTTTTAACTTCCCGTAGGGTAGTTTTCATTTTCGATTTTAAGTTAAAAAAGACTTCAAGCAATAATTTATAAGTTTTACGTAATTAAAACATATGTTATGATTAAATAATTTTTACATTAAAAATAAATCGCTAATTTTTCTCATAGTACCATAAAAATGATGCAATTTTTGTATGGGTGACCTATCAGGGGGGGGGGGGGCAGGGTGTGAACCACGGGCATGGGCATAGATAAATAAGCAATGGGCAGGGTGTGAACCACGGGCATGGGTATAGATAAATAAGCAATGGGCATGGGCGGATCGGCCTTCCACAGTTAGTGGAGGTCGTTCATACATTTGGACTCTAAATTGGATAAATGGAATTTTTCAAATTTTAACCCTTATTTTTGGGTCAATGCACGGGACATCAGAAGTATGGTTTCTTCAACAAAGTATCTTATTTTGATCCCTATCCGAATATCGGATGTGCCTTGAAGGGCAATATGAAGTGGAAAAAAACATTAGAAAAATATTAGTTTTTTAAAATTATATTATTTTATATAACTTATAATTTAAGTCGATATGAACAAATTGGAAAAAGCAATATAAAATAATTCATTTACATAATTTGCACTAGTACGTAACGTGTCTTCGGACTCGAAACGTGTGGATCGATTAAATTATTTTAAAAAACTTATTTTTAGTTTTATTTTTAATTACCCAACATACACACACACACACATATATATATATATATATATATATATATATATATATATATATATATGATATTGTTAATTTCGACTTTGAAAAATATGGTATGATGAGCTACTATAATAGCTCGAAACGTACTAAAAAAGATTTTATATTTATTTTCTGTTTTTATTTTTTCGACTTGTGGCTGAAAAACCTTAACAATATATATATATAATGTGTGTGTGTGTGTGTTTGTGTGTGTATTGTGTTTAGGTAAATTGATGTTGAGATACATGTTTTTTATTATTGCATATTCAGCTATGAAAAAATAAAGTCGTATTGCAGTATATACTTGTATTAGAGTATTATTATTGTATATTAATTTGTTAAAACAAATTACTAAATGTGTCATAAGTATAGTTAAACACGCCCGCATGCAGAGTGTTGGTGAAACCTGCACTTGGATTCTGGTATCATTGGTATCATACCCTAGACCATCGGCAACCTATGGCACGCGATGGGGTTCTGAATGGCACTCTACAAAGTAATCAGGGAAATCGCAAATATATCGAGTCGAATTTTTAAATAAGAGAAAATGTTTTATAATCATTTATAATTTATATTTATTATTTATAATGTAGCTCGCTAATGTAATTCAACCTACGTTGAAGCACTTAAAGATGTATTTTCCAGATGCAAAGACTTTGAAGCTTATGTGCCTATATTTTTCTTCCTCATAATACCAGATTTCATAGATCCATCAATTATGATTGATTTTTAAATTTTTGAATGGATGAGTGTTGATGATTTTGAAATGGAAATTATCGAACTAATATCTTCAGAATTATGGAAAACAAAAATTAAGGAATTACGAAAAAATCTGAAAGATGACTCCATGGAAAATTAAATTGTTGGATGACATTGCCGGAAATATTTAATTGTTTAAAGAAAATTGCGTGCTCTCCTTTCAACTTTTGGTTCCACATATCTCCTTGAACAATTTTTTTCTCACATGAAACATATTTTGAATTCACAAAGAAGACGTTTAACAACTAAACATTCAGAATCATGTGTGTTACAAATTATACTCCGGATATTGTAATGTTAAGCAAAAATGTATAGGGACAAGGTTCGCCTTAATATTGTTTAGTTTATGTTAGAATTTTATGCTATTTGTTAACTTCCCGTAGGGTAAGTTATAGTAAAAAAATCGAAAATAAATTTTTTTATATATCTTTACGTTTCAGAGTTTTCTGAACATTTTGTCATACCTTAGAAAAAATGCATGTATGTGTGTGTGTGTGCGTGTGCGGATACAAATTTTTGTCGACGATTTCGGGAACACCGACCAACCGATTTGAATAATTCAAAAAACATTCGATTCATATTGATAAGGAGACGTGCTGATTAGTTTTTGGCAAAGGCAGGTCTAGCCGTTCCGTAAATATGGGGCAAAAAGTGCCAAAAACGGTAACTCAGTTTTTAAGAGAACGGAGCGTGCGATTTGAATAATTCAAAAAACATTTTACTTGTATTAAAAATATAAAGAACTGATCAAATTTTCATGAAGGCAAGTCTAGCGGTTTCGGAGATCTAGTAAAAACAGTAAAAAAATGCCATCTGGCGGTCAAAAATGATCATTAGATATGCACATCAAATTATCAGATATTTTATAGAGTTTTTAACAATAAGTATAAATTTTGTTTACATTTCTATGGGTTCCGTACCAATGCTTATCCGTTAGACGGCAGCGCGGCGCTTAGGCTCTTCGATATTTCGACTCTATGCAGTTAAAGCAGTACACGATTGCTTTGAAAAAAAGTTCAGAATTTTCAAAATATTTCAAAATACACTTTTCTCCAAAAAGTCTTTTTTTCTCCAAAATTTATAGTTTCTCAAAAATCTAATTTTTCAGAGTAATTTTTTTTCAAAAATGTTAATCTTTTATAAAAAAAAATAATTTTTGGTACGGGAAGTTCCAGCAATTTGCCTTAAGGCACGATGCTCATGCCCAGACTAGTATGTTTAAAAGATAAATTTGGTTACGATTCTTCTCCCCTAGAACTTGGTTGTATATTTCAGAATTAAGGCGGCACCCTGAATCATATTGGTAGAATGGCTTGGCATACCACAGTTAAGAGCTTGCCGACCCCTGTCCTAGACAATATATCATACCATTGTGTTATCGACTAGAGTAGCATACATAACCTATACGTTAAGACATCTATATTATTTATTTGTACAAAGAATTGCTTCAAAGATTTCAATTTTATTAAGATTATTATTAAGAAGATATAAATAAATATTATCATGACTGCTGTTATACCACCGATTACGAGATTGTCGTCAAAAATAATTAGGGTTTTAGGTTGTAATCCAGGTGAAATGACTTTGCAGGGAACAAATACTTATATTGTGGGAACTGGATCAAAGTAAAATTTTTGCATAAAATTTTGTGAAAGGTTTATAAGATGGTAATAAGCTTTATAATTTCAGGCGCATTTTAATTGATACTGGAGACGCAGGCGTAGAAAAGTACATACAGAATCTTCATTCTGTTATGACGGAAAACAAATTTGCATTCTCCGATATTATACTTACTCATTGGCATCATGATCATATAGGAGGTGTGGAGAGTATTTTAAAGCTTAATGAAAACAAAGGTAGATCATTAAATTAAGAATTTATCAATTATTTGTTCAAAATGTTTACTATCAACATTTTTTGGCTTTATTTTAATAAAGCCAAATAATATTTAAGTTTGTTTTGAAAAATTTATAACTTTTTTAAATAATTGATTATAATGTATTACATTAAGATAATAATTAACTGACTTTATATATACTTTGTTATTGGATTGTGCAATATTAATATGCAGTTACCAGAACAAATTAACAAAAACATTTTATTTGCTAATGACAATGACAATTTGATAGTTAAGTAGTGATAATTAATGATAATTTAGATATTAGAAAATATTCTATATATTTACCAGAACAAATTAACAAAAACATTTTGTTTGCTAATGACAATGACAATTTGATAGTTAAGCAGTGATAAATAATGATAATTTAGATATTAGAAAATATTCTATATATTTAAATTGAGAATAGTTGCAATATTTTGTATTAAATAATTTGATTTTGATATTACTGATACCGATTCTTAATCGATTTGCACATTTTGCATATAAAATTTATAATATGTACAATAAGTCTCACACAGAGTTAATGATTGTTTATATTATATTTTGTGATAAAAATATTATACTCATACATTTCAAGGTTGTCGAGTGTGGAAACATCCTAGAAGTGAGGTTGAAGAGGATAGTACATTCTATGCAAATTTGTCTGTTAGTTTTTTGAAAAATAAACAAGATATATGTGTTGAAGGTGCAACATTACAGGTATTTTGAAGTGTTTTAGCTGAAATAAACATTCAATTTTTGTGTGTATGTGAAAGGAAGTCTGTAATTATATCTAACTTATGGAAATTGTTACCCCCAACCAATTTTCGGGTTAAGAACAAATCTAAAATCCTGTTGATGAGTCTTATTTGTTCTTGTGTATCAGGAAGTTCATGCAAGTTACCTAATGGCATTTACATCTTGTTCAGTTAGAAGAAGTGAAATGAATACATAAATAAAAACTACATAAATTATATAAATAATAATTTAATATTTTATATTCTTTGATTCATTAGATTTATCATGTATCCATAGAAAACTCATGAGAACAACAAAATAAATCTATCAAATATGTCACTTGGAATTGTGAACATTTGCTTGGGGCATGCAACAACAAAATATCAGTAATTCAATGAACGCCGAACTTAAAAACTGCTTCACTAAAACCACTTTTTAAATAATTCTTAAAGATTTATTGCAGCCAGAGTATTTATGAATTCTGTTGCAATTTTTCAGTTTATCACATTGCATTTTTGTGATAGATAGCTTTTGTAACATTATCTATTCACTAATTAATGGAATATATATTGAAAATTTTAATATTGCTTATTAAATATTATCAATCATAAATAAATTTTGAGCAATATTTGAAAATTATACTTGAAACCTAACTTAATTTTTAAAATCCATTTTAGATTTTCTATAATTTTATAGAAGTATGTTTTTAGGTTCACCATACACCAGGCCACACTACTGATCATGTAGTGTTATTATTAAATGAAGAAATTACTGAGAATTCAAAAAGCAATGGTCAATGTACTCATCAATCTAACATAGAGGATAAAAAGCATGATCTTGTATTATTTAGTGGAGACTGTGTACTTGGTGAGGGCACAGCTGTATTTGAAGATTTATATGACTATATGAGATCTTTGCATCACATATTAAATCTGAAGCCAACCATTATTTATCCAGGGCATGGAAACGTAGTACGAGTATGTATATATATATATATGTGTGAGTGCGTGTGTGTGTGTGTGTGTGTGTGTGTGTGTGTGTATATACAGTCAACCCTCCGAAAGCGCGGCGAGTGTGTACCATATATGTGTAATCCAGGCTAATTTGTAGTATCAGGAAACTGGCTATTGCATTCGATGGAAATCGTGTAATAAGAAACTCAGAATTGGTACTAATCACAGCATTTGCACTGCGTTATATGGAGGCTAATGACATCTAGGTGTAAGTTGTTTTTTGCCTTGACCAATGCGAATGCAAATAATCGACTTAATCTAAGAAGCCAATGTATTAATTTGAGTTTTTAATAATAGTTCCAATGAAAATTTTAAATTTAATTTTTTTCTTGATACATTCATTTATTTAGTTTATTCTGATAAGAATTAAAAGCCATACTATATGATAACAAAAACAAAGATAAAACTAGTGGTCCATGGCATCGTGTCTCAAGGCAAATTGCTGGAACTTTCTGTACCTTAATTTAAAAAAAAATTTAAAGCTCTGAAAAGAGAAATCAGATTTTTTTTTGAGAATTTGAATTTTTTTGAAAATTTTGAAAACATTTAAAAAAATTGAATATTGGAAAAAATTGCTTTTCTTGAAAATACTGATATTTTTGAAATTTTTTGAAAACTAAACTAAATTTGATTTGTTGATATGAATTTTGAAATTTTTTGAAAGTTTTTCATACTCATTCACATGTGTTGATTCAAATTACGAAATATCAGATTTTCGGTCGCCAAATGGCTTTTTTTTTTACTTTTTTTCTGGATCTCCGAAACCGCTATACCTGCCTTTGCAAAAACTTAATCATTCAAATCGGATGCACTGTTCTCTCAAAAGCTTAATTGCCATTTACTGCAACTCTTTGCTCCATATCTTCAAAGGCTGCATCGACTTTTGCCAAAACCTAATCAACACATCTCCTTATAAATAGGAATCGAAAATTGTATCTGTACATACATACATACATACTACATACACAATCTATTTTTGCTAGCATGCTAAAATGTTCAGAAACCTCTGAAATGTGAAGATATGCAAAAAAATTTATTTTCGATTTTTGATTGATTTCAATAATTCGCTCCGCTGAAAGTTAATATGTTCTGAATCTATTAAAATAATATTTGATCTTAAAACACACATTAATTATCAACATCTATATTATATATCACAAATGGATTCTCTCTCATTGTCAGTGCTCCGTCTAGTAAACCAATGCAATGCGTCTCTTCTTGTTAGATCAATATTTTACAACTATTAAATCGTTTTTTATCTTTAGTATCTAGAAAATACTTTGACAGTCTCAAAAAGTGCAAAATATATTGCCAAACCTTTCAATAGTCAGCAAATTTGGTTTTTATAAGCTCAACCATATTGCAATCACAAATCAGTGCCTACAACTTACACTCACTTTTATCAAAAAGAACAATATTTTTATTTACTTTTTAGTTCTATTTTTTATTATAGATAGTATAATATACATAAATAAGTATTAATGTGGTGGTGTATTATGATTCATTACCGCGTGGGTTCCGTTTTTTTTTTTCTGCTGACGTAGACATCGGGAGAACCCCTGTAGGTCGATATGGACTACTTTGGGTATCAAAGGGGTTTATATTAATTATTAATTTAGTTAATAAAATATCAGATCTATGATAGTTGTTTGAATTAGTGTTTTCAAGTCTGAACTGGTTGATTCAAAATCTAGACTAGGTTTTATAATTCTTATTAATTATTAAATTTAATTATTCATATTATTAATATTATTATTAGTTTTGACTTAATATAATGACATCAATTTCAGGACCCTGTAGAAAGAATTGAGTACTATATTCAGCATAGAAATGAGCGTGAAAGACAAATTTTAGAATATTTTGAAAGCAATCCAGATAAACTTTTAAACACATTAGACATTGTAAGAAATGTTTATGTTGGTCTATCTGAAAATTTATGGCCTGCTGCATCAGTAAATGTTTCACAGCATTTAAACAAGCTCAGGCGAGAGAATAGAGTATCAGAAAAAATAATTCATGGTGAACACTTATGGACTTATAGAAAGGAGTCTATGCTGTGATTATTTATTTAGTTATTAATATATTGTTACAATTTTTATTATCTTGTTAAATAAAATAAAAGTATGAATATAATTCTATTGATCTTTTTAGTAAATACAAACATTGTACATAATACTACTCATTGATTCTCATACTGTTTCAGGCATGTTAGCAACAATTTTCTAACAAATATTTATTTTATGGTCTATGAAATTTTTCATGAAAATTGATTTGATGTTAGTACTCTCAATATGATTCAAACAAATCTGGTCCATTATCACTTTGTTATTGTAAAGCATTTTTAAAAAATCATGAACAGATTAATAATTTATTAAGTGGTTAAATGATCTTCATCCGAACTCGTATGTAAATAGTTTTCCCTTATTAATTTTGATATTAAAAAATTGTTTTACATAATCTATTTCTCCAATTCGTTTCCTTTTAACCCTCCGTCGGGCGCAGCCGACCTGACAGATACAGGTTTGTGCGTCGCGCATGTACGAATATTTATATTTTGCTATATTATAAAAATAATATTGCTCTAATACATATTTTGTTTTTATTTACTCATAAAATACAGATTCAGCATTGTAAAAACACTAATTAGTTAGAAGTACATAAAACCATGAGCCTCCTGTGAATATAACTTAAAACCTGTATGTCAGATACACTGCGCCCGATTCTGTACGTATTTGGACTGCGCCCGACGGAGGGTTAAAAAAATCATATATTTCAGGCTATTGATGTACATAACCTATAATATTGATGTGTATATAACCTATATATAATTATTATATTGTCTGGGTGCATAACCTTCCCTCTCTTATTTATGTACCGTACCATGCATAGATAAAAGAAGAGCATACCTTGCACCCTTCTTTTATCGATGCATATACCATGGTACGGTACACCATGCTTATTTATCTATGCACCATGTACTCCATGTACTCTTCTCTTATGTACCCATGTACCATAGATAAATAAAATAAGCCATCACGTAATGGCTCGTCTCCATTGCACGAATCCGTACGGCGAATCTGTTCGCAATGTGCGCAGACTAAATTATTGCAAGCAAAAGCAAACCTCGCGCATGTCAAAAACAGGATTCGCCGTGTAGTGGAGCGAGCCATAATGTACGTAGCCCTAGTCTTTTACTCTCTCCATACTCTTCTTTTATCTATGGAAATATATGTTTCATATCTTCTAGAGAAGCAAAGTACTCTTTCTCATTCATAAAATGCGATTATCCGTGCCGATCTGTGTTTGCGCGAATTGGCGCAATTAACTTCACAACCAGGCATACGATTTTCTTGACATACATAATAAAATTTACCTCTATAAAGCCATCATTAAACCAGTTTGGACATACGGCATACAGCTATGGGGATCAACTTCCAACTCAAACGCTTTAATAATTCAAAGATTTCAAAACAGGTTATTAAAAGAAATTTTGAAAGCACCAAAGTATGTTCCAAACATGTTCCAAATTGGTTAATACACAAAGACACAGGCACTAGCACAGTTAAGGATGAAATAATCGCTTACTCACACAAATATAGAAATCGCCTAGCTGATCACTCGAACTTGCTCGCCAGAAAACTTCAGAACAACTCTACCAGGGCCCGATTAAAAATAAAATTTTTTCTACATTAATCAACAATAGATAAGACCTTAGACAAATCACTGGCAATGCTCAGATGATTTGTATTTTGCCAACGCCTTCAGTTTTATGTCAAATATTTTACTTGTTGCTTATTTATCTATGTGTTGTCCGTTTCAGGACAGTTGTAAAAATTATTATTAAAAAAAAAAAAAAGGCATACGATTTTCATCGTGACACACACGCATAGATAAAAGAAGAGTATTGATTTGAACGATGTGTGTCATGTTTACTTGTCACGATGAAAATCACCCACGTATATTTGAACGGATGTGTCACGATGAAAATAATATTTTTTTTTTTTTTTTTTTTTTTTTTTTTATTTTAATAATTTTTACAACTGTCCTGAAACGGACAACAAGTAAAATATTTGACAAGAAACTGAAGGCGTTGGCAAAATACAAATCATCTGACCATTGCCAGTAATTTGTCGAATGGTCTTATCTATTGATGATTAGTGCAGAAGGAATTTTCTTTTTAATCGGGCCCTGGTAGAGTTGATTTGAAGTTTTCTCGCGAGCAAGTTCGGGTGATCAGCTAGGCGATTTCTATATTTGTGTGAGTAAGCGATTATTTCATCCTTAACTGTGCTAGTGCCTGAGTCTTTGTGTATTAACCAATTTGGAGCATACTTTGGTGCTTTCAAAATTTCTTTTAATAACTTGTTTTGAAATCTTTGAATTATTAAAGCGTTTGAGTTGGAAGTTGATCCCCATAGCTGTATGCCGTATGTCCAAATTGGTTTGATGATGGCTTTATAGAGGTAAATTTTATTATGAGTGTCAAGTTTTGATTTTCGTCCAAGGAGCCAATGATATCTTCTTCTGGTTTCTTCAAGCTGCTTTCTCTTTTTCTTAATGTGTTCTTTCCAGGTTAGTCTCTTATCCAGGTGTAAACCTAGATATTTGACTGTATCTGCTTGGTCTATAACTTCGTCATTAAGTCTTACTGCAGGACATGTCCCTTTGCAAAGAGTGAAAGTGATGTGTTTTGACTTGCTGCTGTTAACTTGTATTTTCCACAAGCTTAACCATTTTTGTATCACGTCAAGATGATCCTGGAGCATTTTTGATGTGATTATGGGATCTTCATGTGTTGCCATTATGCCTGTGTCGTCTGCATATGTTGCTGTCAAAATGTCTTCTTTCTGTGGTAGGTCCGCAGTGTATATGAGGTATAATAGTGGCCCAATGACACTACCTTGAGGCACACCCGATCTGACAGGATGTAATGAAGATGTTTCACCCCTTACACTAACAAAGAATGTTCTGCCTTCCAGGTAGGACTTTATTATTAGGTATATATCAATCGGCAATGCATTTTTTATTTTGTAAAGTAGGCCGGGATGCCACACCTTATCAAATGCCTGACTAATATCGAGGAAAACAGCTGAACAGTAGTTCTTGTTTTGGTAAGCCTTGTTTATATTGTCGACAATTCTATGAATTTGCTCTGGTGTGCCATGTTTTTCTAAAAATCCAAATTGATGCTCAGGGATAACGTTGCTATCATAAATAAATGGTTTTATTTTACTAATTAAGACCTTTTCAAATATTTTGGATAACGTTGGAAGTAAACTAATTGGTCTATAACTTTGGACTTCATTCGGATTTTTACCAGGCTTCGGAATAATTATGATTTTAGCAATTTTCCATTGATCGGGATATGATTTAAGTCTTATTATACCGTTAAACAGGATTGTTATGAAACGGTAGGCTTTGTGGGGAAGTTCTTTAAGTATATTAATATTAATGTTGTCTACGCCAGGTGCTTTTGCAGATTTTGCCCTTCGGATTTCATTTGTAATTTCTGGAACTTTGATAATGATGTTTGATGAAAAATTTGACTGAACTTCTTTCAAAGAATCAAAAATAAATTTTTCTTCTTGTTCCGAGGATTTTGAAGAATTTGGTGTAAAAACTTCCTTGAAGTAAGCCGAGAAATATTCTGCTTTTTCTAAATCACTGCGTGCCCAAGTGTTATCCAGTTTTCTAATTGGAGGTATAGTAATGGCAGGTCGTTTTAAGTTTTTTGTGGCTTTCCAAATCGAATGATCTGATATTGTTAAATGGGATAAAAAGTCTTGAAATTGGTCGTTTTTGAACGTTGTTATCTGTTGTTTAATCAATTTAGACGTTCTGTTCAATTGCGTTTTGTCTTGTGGAGATCTGGTTAGCTGCCATCTTTTTCTTAGCCTCCTTTTCTCTGCAATAAGAGCTTTGGTGTCTATGGAGCAAGTATGGATTTTCTTTTTAATTTGTGGGGGGGGGTACTTTTTCTAGCTGCGTCTATTACAATTGAACTAAATTTATCAACAGCATTTTTCAGGTCATGTTTGTTTTTCAATGGTATATTACAGTTAAGATTTTGCTCTATAATGTTTCGGAATAATTCCCAGTTTGTATACTTGTTAGTTAAAAAATCATTTTTCTTGTCTTCTAAAATTTTTGTACTGTATGTGACTATTATCGGTGTGTGGTCAGAACTTAGATCAAGACAAGATTTAGCCTGAATGTGTTCATTTGCTATACCTTTCAGGACGCAGAAATCCAATAGATCAGGTAATTTGCGCAGATCACTCGGCCAGTATGTGGGCTCGCCAGTAGATAGGGTCGTTAGCCCGTGTTTCTGGACGGTTTTATAAAGTTCGTTGCCCCTTGGATTTGCCAATCGAGATCCCCAAAAGGTATGCTTCGCGTTGAAGTCTCCTCCCGCGATGAATTTTCTCTGAAGTGTTCCGAAAAATTTTTCAAATTGTTCACAGGTGATCTTGTGTTTTGGTGGACAGTAAATTGCAGATATTGTTAAATTTTCAGTTTGTTGTTGAATCGTTAGTGATGTGGCTTGTATAAAATGCTCATTGACAGATTTGTTTTGGTAATGTTTGATGTTTTTTCTTATTATTATAGCAGTTCCACCGTGAGCTGTTCCATCCGGATGATTAGTGTTGTAAAAATTATAATTGTTTAATTTGAAATAGTTTAAGTTTGTAAAGTGGGTTTCTGAGATCAACATAATATCTATTTTGTATTCTATTAAAAATATTTCTAATTCTTGCCTATGTTGAGCAAGACCATTGGCATTCCAGATTCCAATTATTAATGAGTTACTATTCATTTTAATTTTGAAGCGACGGTGGTTAGTAAATTTAGTATGATACTAATTTGTCCTACTAAATCCTTTATCATAGTTTTTAGCTCAGTAATGTCGGAATTAGCTTGTTGCTGGTTGCAGACATTTGGATCTGGGATAGTTTGGTCTATTGGGTTTGTGGCTTGCGCGTACGATTTATTAGATTGAACATATGACGGTCTGTTTATAGTATTTTCTGTTGGATAATATCTGGTGCGAATTGGGGGAAATCTTTGAGCAAATAATTGTTTGTATTCCTTACAACCTTTGTAGTTTGCTGGGTGGTTTTCATTACAAAGTACGCATTTGACGTTTTTGTTGATGCGATCTGTCCATTCGCATTTTTTACTGGGATGATCGCCAGCACATTTCACACATCTTGCGTCTCTGAAACAATACGATTTAGTGTGACCATAACGTTGACATTTTGTACACTGTACAATTTCTCTTGTTGGATTTTTGGGCTCAATTTTAACTTTAATTCTATTCAAAAATTCTATGTTGTAGATGTCTTTGTTGTTAATGTTTTGTTCCAATTCTACCATAAACATATGCAGTGGAGCACGAGTAAATCTGTGCTTGATGTTGGCTATATACACAACTTTGTGTCCGTGAGATTCAATTTCATTTTTGATGTCTTTTATATCGGTGCTGAAGTGAATATTTCTAATGACTACTTTAAATGTTCGGTTGGTTTTGCTTTGAAAAGAGTGCATCTGTGTGTTTCTAATTTTTAAAAGGTTCAAAATTTTGTTATATAGCTGTGCAGAACTCAACTGTATTCTGACTTGATCTGTACCAACAATTTTGTTAGTATAGTTACCTTTGGCGTGTGTTTCTAGTAAAATTGACAAAGGTCTGATGTCTTTAACATCATGGACAAAAATTGGCGGTGGTTTTGATACTACTTCTTTCTCTGTTGGCTCTTGAACTTCATTTAAAATTTCAAAGGAATTGCTGGTTAATGTAGGGTTTAACCAATACTCTGCAGGTTTATTTGCTTTATGTTTTTTGTACTTAACCTCAATCCATTCTTCGAAGCTCATGACTTTTGATCCTTGTTTGGAGGTCGATGGTTGTTGGTTGTGTGAAATTGACACAGGATGAACATTATCTAAACAAGATGAAGAATCGTTCAAAAGTGAGTTTTCTGATGGGGTCCGGGTCTGCTTAGATGGATTTTCTATATGAATTTTCACGCTTTTCCGAGGCATCGGTTTTGGAATAGTTTGTTCAATATCCATATTTTCTTGACAATTAATCGAATTTCCGTTCAAGTTATTTGATAATTTGAGACGTAATTTTTCTGTGGTTTGATCCGAACATGTTTGCAAATCTTCATGTAATATATTATTTGTTTTAGTAAGAGAAAGTTTGTTCATTGTGCCCCCATAAGGGTGGCACAAAAATGTGTAATGTCAACACACTAATTACTATACAAGTTAAGTACACTGTTATAAGAAATATCACTTATTTAATGTTTGTAAAAACTACATTAATTTCGTACTTTGATTATGGTTTACATACACAGTATAATAATTTGACGCGAGAGCATTCACTTTCACACGTCCGTCCGCGTCGAGGGTTCGGCTTGAACTGCGCATTACTAGCCAATTGAAAATAGTATGTCTGAGATTATTTGCGCAAACACAGGTTGGCACCGATATTCGGATTGTGTGTAGAGTCACTTAATAGATTGATCATGCCCCCTTGCTTATTTATCTATGCATGTCCCGATCTCCTGATATTGTATTTCTCGCCTTTTTAGTCATCCAATTTTAATATAATTAATATATGTTAGAACAAATTTCAAGATTCATTTAAATATAAATTTCAGAATTAAATAGCATATAAGCCTAAAATAATCATGATAAACAGTTTTGTAACATAATAATAATTATATCTGAAGACAAAGGGTTTGTTCCATCCGAGCCAATCTGACAGTCCGGAACTGTCCGCGCATGCGCAGAACACTTTTTTCTGTTCCATCCAAAATTTCGGATTCCAAACTGTTGCGGACTGTCAATAATGCGTTCCATCAAGCAGTCCGATGAGTTTGAAACTATCATTTTGTGTTTGTATTCGGCACAAACGAAAACTCCGCAATTTAATACGATTAAAATATAATGTTATTTAATCTCAAATAGAACATTAAAAATTTAATGAATTTACAGGAGTCCAAATATTGTAGAATATTAGATTAAAAGCGACATAACGATATATAACTAGAAAATATTAAAAAGCAAATTCATTGATAATTAAGTAATATTTTATTAAAATATGTCTAATATATACATATATATATATATATATATATATATATATATATATATATATTTATGTATTAAAATAATAATTATTATTATTATCGAGTGAGCTCCGAGTTCGAACGCGTTGGATGTATCCAAACCAAACCATTGCCAACTGCCATAAAAAAATCAGAAAGAGTTTGGTCTAGTTCAGGGCTTCTTAAACTTTTTTATATAGCGACCCCCTTCAAGCTTAGGAAATTTTACACGATCCTCTCTTCCAAATAATAAAATATATATTAACCGTTATCGCACTATTTTACAATGTAAATAAAATAAGGATTGAAGAATATGTACCCATTCATGTTATATATAATTGGAAACGTTGACATAAAACTATATATATATATATATATATATATATATATATATATATATATATAAAACAAATTTTAAAAAACGTATTTGACAGAATAAACCTGATGATGGAACGTACCTAGTTCCGAAACGTCGTTATTAAACATCTTCAAAAAACAAATTGTTTTATCTATTGAATATATATATATATATATATATATATATAAACTTTTGTAACAAATTCTTTATAAGAAAACATAAAACTATATCTACATATTCAATAGAAAAAATAAAACTTTGTTACATTTTTTTAATGAAAACCTATTATAAACATCCAACAATATTAATGTGATGAATGTGATTGTTTTACACAAATAATTAAATCTAGGCTCAATTCATATGACAGTAATTTGTTTATTGCCATTTCCGATAGTAGGGAATATACTGATTTGATTTCAATCCAAAATTCATGCACAGACACTTGATAAAATCTGAGTCGCAAGATAGTATCACTTGCTAATTCGGTAAATTCTTCTTGTGCTTTTAGGTTTGAAAAATTAATTTCTTTCATTTCAATTGAAAATGGATTGCAAATCCATTGTTGTGTATCGATATCATTGAGAAAATACCTATGAATGTAAACTTCCATATTCTTCAAATGATTAACTATAATTTTTGTTATTGGAGTATCTTTTTTTGAAATATTGTTACTAATTATATACTCGTCAGTAAATGGAAACATTTCGAGCGATCCACTTTCTACTTTGTTCTTCCATATAAGAATCATTTTAACAAAGGCTTCAAGTTTATTTTTTAACATAAACATATTAACGCAGACTCCCTTAATTGATGAATTCATATCATTGATTTTATCAAAAATATTGGCCAAATAATAATAATAAATTATCGTGAAAATAGTCGGCCTAATAATACTAATTTTAAAATTTTGTTTATAATGATTGAAAAGTATCAGATCTTTGCGACCCCTTTTTAGTAGGCTTGCGACCCCCCTGGGGGTCGCGACCCCCACTTTAAGAAGCCCTGGTCTAGTTTGAAACAGTTTCGGACTGTCAGATTTGCTCGGATGGAACGAACCCAAAAAGTAATACATTTACTACGTTTACATGACAATACAATGTCACAATGTGCGCATCTTATATACTCTTCTTTTATCTATGGTGCGCATGGTTTTATCCAGTTTTATCTATGATAAGCATAGATAAGTAAACATTCATAGCATAAAGCCATTGACATGCGTAATATGCAGTAATATGTCAATGTCAGGTTTTTCTTGCTGTTACCAATGATTACTTATCTCTGACTGTTACAGTTGTTTAACTTCATATCAAATCGTTGACTATCTATAAAACACATTCACATTATATCTGTGACTTTTGATGTAGTTTTTTTTAAGCATTTCCCACGCTAGTGACATGACGGCGAGAAAAAAACCGCCAGAATCCGAGATTTTGTTGTGCTGTAAAATTGCGTACGGTGAATTAACCATTATTGTTAATTAATTTGTGATATAAATAATTACGAACAGTAAAACATAGGTTGTGATCGGAAAGTGTTAAGTTATTTTACGTTTTAGTTAAGAAGTGGCAAAATTTAAATGTTGGTAACATTATTTTGTTAGTGTACAGTTAATTGATCTAGCGCGGTATATTTTTCAGCGTCTCGATTTTTGACTTTGTAAATATTTGTTATTTAATTTTAAGCACGTATTTGCGATTATTCAAAATAATTAATAAAAAGGAATTTCTATGCCGAAATTCGGTGAAGTTAAGTGGAGTAACGTTCGAACGTTGTGGTTATAAACTAACTTGGGTTTTGTTATATACGCTGCATAATAATGTCCAGTGTTAGTTTAGATAAAGATACGTTTTTTCGGCGTATGAACCGAATTTACAATGCTTGGACAGTAAGTAATATCTCTAATAATTAAATTTGCAGCCTAACCTAAAATCGTCTAATTTTTTTTGAATACCTCTACTCCTGTCTAGGAATCGAAAGATGAAGGCATCGGTAAAGTGGATTGTCTGATAGCTATTGTTGGTACAGATGAAGATATAGTTTATAGCAAGTCGGCTTCATTACAGGTAATAATTATCTATTCTTCTTATATGAAGTATGTAATGTGCTTATAATTAATTTTATTTCAGAATTGGTTTTTTGGGTATGAATTAACTGATACCCTAACTGTGTTAACAGAGAAGGCCATTTACTTTCTCTCAAGTAAAAAGAAAATAGATTTCCTACGTCCAATTGAAAACAAAGAAGATTCAGGAGTACCAGCAGTGAAACTTCTTGTTCGAGATAGGGTATGAGTTTTGCTTTAATTTGCATTCACAATTTAAATAATGGGGTAATAGAATTCGAAAGACAAAATTTAATTATATCTGGGAATATATTCATGCTTAGTTACACTTTCTGTGCTTAGGGAATATTTTTGTGGCATATATATATATATATATATATATATATATATATATATAGTAAAACGTTGATTATCCGGACCTCAGTTATACGGATTTGCGATTATGCGGACTACCAACTGGGACAGAGTTATATGTATGTACACATCTTCGAATCGAATTTTTGCACGATTTATGCTGCAGTTTAGTATATGTATGTAATATAATATAAGAAAATATATATACATACATAAGGAAATGTTAATTTCTTATTAAACATTGATTTTCGTTGAAATCTATGTATGTATTTGTTATTTTTGATAAATACACATCATTCAATCATTCAATATTCAGTATCATAAAAATATATACATATAAACACAACTACTGCATTGCTTGAAGATAAAGCTTCTGAAAACAATTCGTTCTGTTTATTTAAGTTCTCTATTTTTTTTTTTTTTTGAAAATTCTTTTGTTTTTCCAACATAATCTGCGAGTACTTTTTCCAGATGTCGTTTTAATTTATTTGGTTTCATGCTATCTGAGGCTGAAGTATACATGCACATTGGTCGGTCTTGATCATTAATGACCATGGATATATTTTCTATTTTCTATATTTAGTTTTACTATTTTGCAAAGACATATTTCCATTATTTTCATCACTCTCTTCTTCTGCTTTATTGAATTTTCTTTTCAACCTAGTCACGTATTTATCTATCACAAACGGTTCTTATCACAAATAAAAAAAAAACACTTTTTCACTACTTTTCATAATAATTCCTGGCTAACAATATTCTAAAACTATATATCAAAGTGTATACCTCTATCACAACTAATGAATGAACTAATTTGATTTATAGATAACAGAATAAAAAGTATGCTTTTGTTTATATACTTAAGTTAGTCTCAGATGCTTTTGTTTGAGTAAGCAGGTAAATATTCGGGATGATCCGAGGGCTTATCTTTAGCTTATAGGCCTTCAGCCCACTCGGCTATAAACGCAAAAACGAAATATTTGGATTGCACCAAAAGTATTGTACATATATTCATGCTGTTACACTGGTCCGTGATTACTTGCACGTATTTTGCTAATTTGTTTTTGACACTTACTCAGCATTTTAAAATAATATTTTTGGAAGGGTTGGAAATTGCTGCATTAATGTAAAATCGTGTATTTGATTCTTTTTTTTTTCTTAATGTAGTTCACTTTTACATTTTATTTCTCACAGTTTTTGTACGTGTCAGTCTTTGATCATCTGCATTTTTATTTATCTTTATAATATTTTGTTTTATATGAGATTTAAATTGAAGCTGTAAAATCAATGTAAAATTTATCAAGTTCTCAATATTGTGTTTGAAATTAACTTTTCAGAATGACAAGGATAAATCCAATTACGAAAAAATTATAGAGGGTATAAAAAACTCAAAGAAAGGGAAATGTATTGGTATTTTTCCTAAGGAGAATTATAAAGGAGAGTTCTGTGAAGGATGGAAAGCAGCTTTGAAAAAGCATGATTTTGAGAATGTTGACATCAGCACAAGTAATGTTCACAGTATTTACTACACTTTATTGGACTTGAAAATTTAAATTAGATATCAAATTATTTAATCATATATGATGATTTTTAGTATCATTATTACAGTTTTCTTTCAAAATGCCTTCTATTTATGGTTTGAATTAATTTTTTCTTCTTAATGCAAAACTATTTATAGTCATAAATGATATATATTTTAATATTTCAGGCATTGGTTATTTGCTGAGTCCAAAAGAGGATTCAGAAACTCATATAATCAAGAAAGCATGTGCAATTTCAGTGGAAATATTCACTAAATATTTGAAAGACCAAATAATGGATATAATAGATTCTGATAAGGTGAAGGCTGAAAAAAAAGATTGTTAGCGAGCTGTAGCTTACTGAATGAATATATTGTCAATCGGTTCTAAATAATTGAGACTAAAATATGAGACACTAGCAAAAAATGTCTAATTTTAAATACACTTTTCATTATAAACAATTTTCTAATTTGACTGTAATGCAAAACAAATTAAAGAGCAGTAAATTACATATCTTGAAATCTACTGAACTATGCTAAAAATATCATGTGATTGAACTTTAAACAATTAATTTTCAAATTATTATAGTTAATATGGACTTTGTTTCAATTTCAGAAAGTTAAACATTCAAAACTCGCTGAAGGTGTGGAAGGTGCAGTTTCTGATAAGAAGTACCTTTTAGGTGTTGATCTGAATCAAGTTGACATGTGTTATCCGCCTATTATTCAATCTGGAGGAAACTATAATCTTAAGTTTAGTGTCGTCAGTGATAAAAATCATTTACACTTTGGTGCTATAGTTTGTTCCTTGGGTGTGCGCTATAAATCTTATTGTTCAAATATAGTGCGGACAGTACTAGTTAATCCTACACAAGAAATACAAAACAATTATGAGTTTTTAGTTTCTTTAGAAGAGGAGTTACTTAAGAGAATGGTTGTAGGATCTAAGCTGTCTGAGGTTTATGAAGCCGGTGTGTCATTTACACAGAAAGAAAAACCTAAATTACTAGACAATTTGACAAAATCATTTGGGTAAGATCTTCAAAAGATATAATAGGATAGAATGGAATAGTGTTTATACTAGTTTTGTTGTTTTTCTTCAGGTTTGCAATGGGTTTAGAATTTCGAGAATCATCTTTACCTATTGGTCCAAAAAGTACAGCAGCATTGAAAAAAGGCATGGTATTTAATTTGAATGTTGGCTTATCAAAACTCACTAATAAAGAGGCAAATGATGATGAAGGAAAGGTTAGTCACATTACTGGTGTATTGTAATATCAATTTATGCACTTCCATTATTGATTTATTGACTATTTTGAATTATCATGAAATATGGTGTTATTCCAATATTATGTGTATTCTCTTCCTTTTTTTTCTTAGACATATGCTTTATTTATTGGTGATACTGTTATTGTAAATGACAAAGAAAGCCCAGCTACAATCCTTACAGTTTCGAAAAAGAAAATTAAAAACATTGCCCTGTTTGTCAAAGATGATGATGATGAAGAGGAAGAAGAGGATGATAAACCTAAGAAACCTGAAATACTTGGTAATTTAATTTTACTGTTAGAATTCTTATTGTTAACATCTTTTAATTTTCTTTATTTCTTATATGCATTCTATGAAGGAGATAGAGGTTTGTACTATATTTATTTAGTTCTTATTTATATTAGTTTTGCATTCATCACTTTAAATATTAAAAATTGCAGTAATATTCATTAAAATTCAAATCATGATAGAAGAAAAGTTGATTATAAATTAATTTTTTTCCAAAATTAATTTAAAAAAAAGCTAAATAATATATCAGTGAAGTATGTACACTTATATTATGTAAGTTAAATATACTGTTATTGACTATTATGTCCTGACCATTTCAATATGTTTTAATGTCGGAACATTTATGATGAGTTTTTGTTGTTAATTTGTGACATACAATAAATTTTACAATATTTTTTTAAATAATTAATTCTTATTTTTATTAAATTCTTAATTTAATAAATAATTAAGAATGTTTTTTTGGCATTTAATACATTAAAATACAAAAAATTATTGTAAAAATATCTATTCTGAATGAAAATGTTATTGTATAATGTACTATTTATTATCATAAAGGTCGAGGAAAACGTACAGCTGTGATAGAGTCTAAGCTACGTTCTGAACATACAAGTGATGAGAAGCGTAAGCAACATCAGAAGGAGTTGGCTGTTATAGTAAATGCTAAAGCCAAAGAAAGGCTTGCTAAACAAACTGGTGGAAAAGAGGAGGAAAAAGTAAGGAAATCAACAATATCTTACAAAAGTGTAAATCAAATGCCAAGAGAACCTGAAGTAAAAGAACTTAAATTGTTTGTAGGTGAGTAGTATCCAGAATATTACTTAATATATAAATATAAACAGTATTTTCAGATATTTGAAAATAATATCCAGTGTTTTATTGCTCATTTTTAAGGTTGTGCTTGTTCAGAAGAGTTATAGATTTATACATTTTATTATTATTGTTGCTTAATTTTCAATTGATTATTATATTTTTGCAGTGTTAAGTTTGTGTCTGTAAATGTTAAAACTGTAAAATATGGTTATGATTTTAATTTCATTGAACTTTTTTTAATTATTACATTATATTATAATTATTACATATGTAATATTATTACATGCATACATAAAAATTGTATCATATATATCTTACTTATATATCTCTACAAGTATCTAAAGATTGCTATTTATGTTTTTATTCATTTGGGTTCCAATAAGTTTCCATAAAATAGAAATGAGTATGTTTTAATTTCAGATAAAAAGTATGAAACTGTTATTCTTCCTGTTTTTGGATTAAATGTACCATTCCACATTTCTACAATAAAAAACATATCACAATCAGTGGAAGGAGATTACACATATTTACGTATAAACTTTTTTCATCCTGGTGCTACAATGGGTAGAAATGAAGGTGGCATGTACCCTCAACCTGATGCCACATTTGTAAAGGAAGTGTAAGTTTCTAAATAGTTTTGTTTTATATAAATATAGTTATATAAAAAAAACTTGGAATATTAAATGGTCATTGGATTTGGCATAATTTGCTATGCAAATGTTTGATCAAGAATTTTTGAATTTGCAATACATTTTTCAAATAATTGAGATTGAGAGGTAAAATTTTACACATTTTTATTGTTTATCAAATAGTACCCAAAGAATTGAAATAGGTGGTGGTGTATATTGCTCATAAAATTTTATTTGCATTTAGAAGTAATTCTTTCTTAAAGAAGATATTTTTTCATATAACAACTTTTATACGGAGAAGAAATTGCAAAGCAAGATACTACACATTAAATTATCAAAAACAATTTTGAAGTATGCTTTCTTGTAAATTTAAACAGATGTACCAATTTTAAGTTTGTTTAGTGTGCAACCCCAACAAACAAACTTTATGAAAATGCTATCTTTTATTTAGAAATAAACTTTCTTTTTTACAGTACATATAGAAGTACAAACACTAAGGAACCAGGTGAAATTGCTCCACCATCTTCTAACCTTAACACTGCGTTTCGCTTGATTAAGGAAGTCCAGAAAAAATTTAAAAATAGGGAAGCTGAAGAGCGTGAGAAGGAGGATTTAGTAAAACAAGATACCTTATTGCTTTCACAGAATAAGGGCAATCCCAAGTTGAAAGATTTATACATTCGCCCAAATATTGTGACCAAGCGTATGACTGGCTCATTAGAAGCGCATATGAACGGTTTTAGATATACATCTGTGCGAGGAGATAAAGTTGATATTTTATACAATAACATCAAGAGTGCATTTTTCCAACCTTGTGATAGTGAAATGATAATTCTGCTACATTTTCATTTGAAGCATGCTATTATGTTTGGTAAATATTGTATTTATATAATATGCATTTATTTGAATATATGTATGTATATCTACATATAAATCATACATGTGCACTACATATTGAATGTTGTTTCTCTGGTTTCATCCAGTGATTCCAATAAAAAAAATAATTTCAGTTCGTTTTTGAAAAAAAAAATAACAATTCTCATATAAATACATGGATGGTTTTGTTGAGAGTTATCTATTTGGGCACTTTAGTATGAACAGTGTGATTTTTTTTTCTGTAACTTTTATGAATAAAATACATAATTAATGTAGAAGCATATGATTGTTAGAAAATGAACCATTGTTTCTAAAACAATAAATTATAAGTATTATTATATAAATCTTTTATGAAATATGTTATTTCAATATACAAATTAATTTGATCATATTATAGGTAAAAAGAAGCATGTGGATGTGCAGTTCTATACAGAGGTTGGTGAAATTACAACCGATTTAGGTAAACATCAGCATATGCACGATAGAGATGATTTGGCTGCAGAACAATCAGAAAGGGAATTAAGACACAAGCTTAAAACAGCATTCAAAAGCTTTTGTGAAAAGGTTTGTCTTTATTCCGTAATTCTTTTTTTATGAATAATGTTGATAATATTATTATTATTATCTCGCAATTATTATATATATTTTGAAATTGGGTTGCCATTTAATATTGCTCACATAGAGCTAAATAGAGACTATTATTATAAAGTGTCATAAACATGCAAGCTTTGCATTATATATATATATATATATATATATATATATATATATATATATATATATATATATATGAGTTGCATTTAGCATTTTGTTGTACATAAAGCAATAACACAATAAAACAATAAATTAATCAGTATTAGTTTTAACACGTTGACTGATAAAAATTGTTCCAGGTTGAAGGAATGACTAAACAAGAAATAGAATTTGATACTCCATTTAGGGAATTAGGTTTCCCAGGTGCACCATTCCGTAGCACAGTATTATTACAACCAACAAGCGGAAGTTTAGTGAACTTAACAGAGTGGCCTCCATTTGTAATAACTTTAGAAGACGTTGAACTAGTTCACTTTGAAAGAGTTCAATTTCACTTGAAAAACTTTGACATGATATTTGTCTTCAAAGATTACCATAAAAAGGTATCGATGGTAAATGCAATACCAATGAATCTGCTGGATCATGTGAAAGAATGGTTAAAGTAAGTTGGTAAATGATTTTGTGACATTTTGTGATCTTGCATATTATGCCTTGATCCAATTTTTTTTTATGTTAAAGTGAGATGCAATATGAAGTCTATTTAATTTAATTACTATTTATTTAATTATCAATGATGCTAAATATTATATCTAGCTTTATTGGAATTCAATTTTAAACTGAAATTACAGTTCTTGTGACATACGATATTCTGAAGGAGTCCAGTCTCTAAATTGGACCAAAATTATGAAAACTATAACCGATGATCCTGAAGGTTTCTTCGATTCTGGTGGATGGACATTCTTGGATCCAGAATCAGATGATGAGAACGGTGAAGTAGCTGAAGAGGAATCTGAAGAGGATGATGCTTACGAACCAACAGACATTGAGTCTGATGAAGAATCAGATGATGATTCAGAATACAGTGAAGCGTCCGAAGATGACAGTGATGAAAGTGAAGGTATACATTTATTGTATTATTTTTAGCTTTGCTTCAGGTGTGATTCACTAGCAAATTTTATTCTTAGTTTCATAAAATTGATGTGATTTTTTTTTACATTGCGTTTTATGGATTTCTAGGATTTTTTTTTCAATATTTTGCCTAATTTGAAGGAAAAATTTTGATTATAGTGTTAATATATTTTTCTTTGCTATGTCAAATATGTTTTTGTTATTGTCATTTAGTGTAATATGTTAAGTAACAGTTACTTTGATAGACTTTTAACAACGTGCATATATAATCATTTCAGATCTAGGAAGTGATGAAGAGTCTGGGAAAGATTGGTCAGATTTAGAGCGTGAAGCAGCTGAAGAAGATGAGGAGCGCGGTCAGTATGCTCAAGAAGATTATTCTAAAAAAAGTAATAAGAGAGGACGTGATTATGATGAACGACACTCCAGTAAACATAAGCATAGTAATAAACATAGGTATGTAAAACTGCATTACATTTGCTTGTTATTTTTCATAATATTTATTTTATTTAAGATGTGTTAAAAGTGCTTAAATATGTGTTTTGCTTTTGCTTTTGGATTTTTATTAAATAAATTTTTATAAAAAACTTTTAACAATTGTACTAAATTTATAAGATACTAAAGAGATTTGCTTCAAATCCAATACAAAATAGTACTTTAATTAAATTTATTATTTCTCTCATAATTTTATTATTTTTTACGATTTTTATTTTAGCTCTCCTTCCAAGAACAAGCACAATAGCAGTAGTAGTCCATCGAAAAGTAAAGACAAACATCACAAGTCTTCTAGTGGTGATAAGCATAGATCTTCAAATGGAGATAAGCATCATAAATCCAGTAGTGATAAACACCATAAATCTTCTAGCGACAGAAAAAGATCAAGGGAAGAAAGTCATGATAGGAGTAATCACAAAAGCCCCAAAAAATCTCGGTAATTTTAATAAACTCATTTATTAGATCCAACATTCAAAAATTGCTGTAAGTATTAAGTTCAACACTTTATAAGTTTATTCAAAATTCTAGTTGAATATATGGTTTTAACAAAAAATCAGTTTCTTTCATAAATCTTGGAAGGAAAATTGCGAAAATAATCTTTATTATTTACTAAGTCAGCTATCACTTATATAGAATAATAGCCAGTCAGCTATAACATAATATATAAATGTTAGTGACCCATTGGTTTTTTAATTATTCTGAGCGATACTCAGAGTTATTTTAGTATTCGTAATAATAATATTTTCATTAAAAAGTCTGATACTTCATTGTTTATTTATTTTATTTATTTATTCATGATCAATAATAGGCTCTTGTCATTATATATCATAGCCTGTGGTATTATGAAATATTGATGTAATTTTTTTATTTTACAGAAAATAATAATGAATGGTGAAATGCTTATTTTGAACCTAATGCTCCTACACTGTAATATATTTCAAGTGGATCACAACTATTTTCTATTTTTGTATAATAATTTGTATACCAACATAAATTCGTTACCATAGAAATACACATAAAATGCTGTTTTCAAAAAAGTAATCAATATCAGCAACTTTATATATAACTGGTAAGATGTATGTATTGTGTAACTTAATTGTCATATTTATGAAATGAACTTGGCTAAAAATAAAAATGGATGCTTATTCTGATTCTGATGAAGATGATTGTGAGAGTTATTGTGAGTATGTAATTGTTATTTTAATTAAACATTTTTTGATAAAATATTGTTTTATTGTTAATTCTTGCATATTTACTTTGAAAAATGTCTAGAAATAGTATTGATATAAGAGTGATCAATTCTAAAAATAACCAGGTGCTTATCATGATGTGTAACACATAGTAGAAGGGGTAACTATTGATTTGGAATAACATTCAGCAAAATTTTCATTTTGTCATGCAAACCATATTTCATATGTTAAGCATATATGACAAGTATCGAATGTTTTATATTTATATGATATTATTGTACTTAAATAATTGTGGATAGAATTCAATAATTATTAAATTTTGTTTGTTGGAAATAACTGGTTGTTAATTTTACAGAAAATTGAATAATATGTAATATAAACTGTTATAAAAATAGAATGATAAAATGTAAGTTGATCAATAAAACTCTGCTAAATTGCAGTTTTGGTTCCTGTCCAAGAATATAACATTAAAGAAAGAATCACTAGAGCTAATGAGCAACTACTACAAAGTCCAGTGTTAAATAGAAATTACGAACCTCGTGTAACTTTTCATGAAATAATAGAAAATTTTGAACCTGATTCAGATGATGGATATGTAGACTCATTTGAAGTTGATGTTTCCAGTAATTCAGAACTTGAAGCAAGTGCAAAATATACTTATACAAATACAAACAATGAAGAAATGAATGATTTGCAATCAATCAGAAAAAAAATTGCAGAATATAGTTGTAGTGTTGAGGAAGATATAACAGAGATAGCAGATTATTCAGAAAAACAGGTATTGAATATTAGTGATACTATACAAACATTATCTGTGAAAGATGATACTTGTTGTGATACTCATACATTTGAATGTGAGTCAGATATTTGTGATAATTTTGAAAGTTCTTCTGAAAGTGAACTTAACATTAAAATTATTGAACACAAACAAAAAATTAATGAGCGCCTTTCGTTAACTTTTTGCAATGGTAACTTTCGAAGACGAATTGAACAACCAACGCCAGTATTGAAATTAAAATATAGATATTGTTGCAAACATGATATTAACAAACAACAAAAGCTTCCACAATATGATGGGTTAAATTCGGAATATGGTTTAAGTAAAAGTCAATTACTAATGAAAGTAGAAAAGCAAAAGTTATTCAGAATTCAAATGTTGAAGAATAAAAAACAAAAAATTGATGATAAAGTAAAACTGAATCAAATAAATGAAAATGCATTTGCAAGATGGTTGAAAAATAAAGAGTCTAAAAGAAAGCCAAATAAAAATATGTACAAGTAATGTACTATAATGAAATTTATACCTTGAACAAGAAAAAAAATTATACCAAGAACTAAAATAATTTAGGAATATAGTTTACAACATATTATGTGCAATGTGTAAATAAATTTCATTTTAAATCATCTACAGAAACATTTAATAATCGGGAAGAAACATAAATTTTTTAGAAATTTATTTTAAAACCTATACATTTTGGCTATAGTCTTAGCCTTCATTCAGTGGGAACAAACAATAAAACTTAAATCAAAACAATATTAAAAAATAAAAAGTAAAAAATAATATAGTAATATAATAATAAAAAATTATAAAAAGTAAAAAGTACTTGCAATTTGCTAATCTTCAGTGTTAAAATCTGAAAATTCAATAATCAGTAGAATGAGCATATGGTAAGCACTTCACTATGGAATGTAAACATTAAACTTGAAATTATGACAATGTTTTATAATTATACTGTGTGATATATGTGTTATCTGTTGTAGACATAATGAAGAGAGGATTTTTACTAAGATTGTGAGTTTTTTGCACATTTTTTATTGTTTTGTAAGAAATTTGGAAATACTATATAAATAAAGTTTACTGCGTTTATTTGTTCTATTGTATAAATGGTTAAAAAAAAAGCTTTGCTAACACATCTTTTGTATAAATTCTCCTCAAAATGTAGTGTGGTCAAGATAAAAAAAATATACATTGCCTTTTAAAGTGGTAATGTGTTCTGTTAGCATAGTTTTAAACTGTGTGATTTTTTTTTTTATGTTATTGCAGTTATTGTATTATTATTAGAATTTATTAGTTAAATACAAATCTTTTGACCATTGCCAGAGATTTGTCGAAGGTCTTATCTATTGTTGATTAATGCAGAAGAAATTTTCATTTCAATTGGGCACTGGTAGAGTTGTTCTGAAGTTTTCTGGCAAGCATGTTTGGGATAAACGATTTTTATATTTGTGTGAGAAAGCAATTATTTCATCCTTAGCTAGCTAGTGCCTGTCTTTGTGTATTAAACCAATTTGGAACATACTTTGGTGTTTTCAAAATTTCTTTTAATCTTTGAATTATTAAAGCATTTGAGTTGAAGGTTGATCACCATAGCTGTATCCTCTATACCCAAATTGATTTAATGATGGCTTCATAGATAAATAAACATAAATGGATGGCTTTATATAGGTAAATTTTAGTATGCGTGTCAAGTTTTGATTTACATCTGAGGAGCCAATAATCTTCCTCTTTTACTTATGTGTTCTTTCCAGGTTAGTCTTTTATCCAGGTGTAAACCTAGGTATTTGACTGTCTGTATCTGTTTGATCTATAACTTCGTCATTAAGCCTTACTGCAGGACAAGTCCCTTTGCAAAGAGTGAAAATGATGTGTTTGACTTGCTGCTGTTAACTTCTATTCTCCACAAGCTTAACCATTTTTGTATTTCATCAAGATGATTCTGCTGCATCTTTATGTAATTATGGGATCTTTATGTGTTGCCAGAATGCACGAGTCGTCTGCATATGTTGCTTTCAGAATGTCATCTTTTTGTGGCAGGTCCGCAGTGTATATAAGTGTATATAAATTCTTTATAATCCCGCTGAATGATCCAGAAAGTAATAAAATTTACACAATTACCGTTACCGCCATTTTGATGCTTATTGACGCTCACAGTATCCAAAACGAACGGAATTTAGTTATCGATTCTAAGCGCTTATCGGCCAAGTCGAACGCTAAAAATTTGTGCTTATAAGCGTGAGCGCTCACAGCGCGTAAGCGTCCAAGTCGAACGCACCCAAGGTATAATATGGCCCAATGACACTACCTTGAGGCAATCCCCATCTGCATGGATGTGATGTGGATTTTTCACCCTTTACACTAACGAACAATGTTCTACCTTCCAGATAGAACATTTTCTTGACAATTGATTGAATTTTCGTTCCAATTACTTTTGCGAATTTTGACTAATAAATGGCGTGATAAATTGAGACGAAATTTTTCTGTGGATTGATCTGAACATGTTTGCAAATCTTCATGTAATATGTTATTTGTTTTGGTAAGAGAAAGTTTGTTGATTGTGTCCCCATAAGGGTGACACAAAAAATGTAATTTCAATTTAATTAATATACAAGTTAAGTACATTGTTATAAAAAAAACTTATTTAATGTCAGTATATAACTATATAAATTTCAAGCGTTGATTATGGATTACACTAGTTTAATAATTTGACGCGAGAGCATTCACTTTCACACGTTCGCTCGTGTCGAGGGTTCGACTTGAACTGATTTTAAAAAAACGTATTAAGGTGGGCCACACTTAACGAACGAACATGATGAATAAAGGTGCGTCCACACCTAACGAACGAACACGAACGAACATAAAAGAACGTACCAGAACGAACGGCAACAGCATAGTGTGGACGCTACGACGATCACGAACGAACATAAACAAACATGGCGAGCAATGTTCCGCAACTTGTCGGTACATCAAAGGGAATTGTTCGTTCATGTTTGAACTCGTGTGTGCAGTGTGGACGTCTCAACGAACGCAAACGAACATTTTTGTTTTAATAATTTTAATAATTTAATAATAATTTTTTAATAATTTAATAATAATGTTAATAATTTTAATGTTTGAACATTTTAATAATATTTACTTTTAATTATCGTGTACAGTTTGAAAATTTTGAATAAATTATGGAATGGTCAAATGACGTAATTTTATCATTCATAAATGAAATAGAAAAGTTTCCTATAATATGGGAGACTAAAGACCCTTTTTATAAAATTATTAGAAAAAAAAACGATGCTTGGGAAAGTGTAGGCAAAACGTTTGGGATGTCAGAAGCTGCAGTAAAGAAGATATTGCAGTCATAGATAAAAGAAGAGTATGATTGCAGTCTTTACAAGTAAATATTAAACTTGTTATCATACATAGACATTCAACATATATGTTGAGGATGAGAGTATGAAAATTGAGTATAGTTAGCTCAAGCCTGGAATGTTCAGCTTGCTCCGAATATGAATGCTGAGGAAAGAAAACGACTCAAAATATGAATATTAAATACAGAAACTGAGTGAAATTAATTGAATAATTTATTTACAGTATATTTACAAAATATACACAAACAAAAATCACACAAAAACCAGTGAAAATGCCGTATGATTAAAGCTTACATCCATATCAATAATAAAACTGACGTTTCACGGAACATCTACGAACAACGAAAATTCAAGCGCTCACTGCTTTTAAGCGCTTGTTCAAGTTCGTTTGGAATTTTTCGCGTTCGTTCGTGTTCCTGTTCGTTCTTCTTTGTATTTTCTTGTTCGACATGTTCGTTCGTGTTCGTTCGTTAGGTGTGGACGCACCTTAATATGCGCAGATTAAAAATTTCAAACAAAAGCGAACCACGCGCATGTCAAACGCCATGTTCGTTCGTGCTCGCTTGCTAGCTAATTGATTTATTCATTTTTAATCAAATCTTAACTTGGATTTAACTAATTTATGCACTAAATCGTTGAAAATATGATATAAGAATGATTTTGTTGAAGGATTCGTTTGCACACATTATCTTGAACTAATTAATATTAATTATGTTTTTTTGCAGGTATCTTAATACTAATAATTGTAACAATGTTTGTCTACAGGGATTCCAACGTATCCTTTTATAATCACATATATGCCCACGTGCATTAGTAAGTAGAGCAGCAGATTTTCTATCACCGGT